GACCAGTGAGGCCCTTTATTCTAAGGAGAATCGCTCGTTTCCCCCATCACCTGTTTATGATGGACCATTTGTAACATTGGACATTTTGGTGGATTTAGCTAAAAATCAAGTCCAAGTGTTAATGAGAGTTCCATGACATTGCAAGCTAATGTTTGTAAAATAACAGATCTTCCATTTTGATTTATGTCCTTTCCTATGCCCCCAAATCTTGATAGTAGCATTGTTTCCTGTTTTTCAGTTAAGTGATCAGCAACTGTATTGGGTACTTGTGTGCTCACCGACTCCGGGGACACATGGAAGACCCAGGAGTGGGAGGCTTTCTTCAGTTTGGAGCTGGGCACATCGTTGCCGAAAATAAAGATTACATTCCCCAGCTCCTTTGTTGCTAGCTATGGCCTTGTACTTCTGGTCACTGAGATATAAATTGTGAAAAGGGAGCTGACTCAGGGTCCTAGGAAGTGCCCTTTTTTTACCCTTTTGTCTTTATTCTGCTCCTTCCAGAAGGATTGAAAAGCAGATATAAACGCTGGAGCTCCAGCTGCCATCTTGGACCACAAGGTGACCCTGAGGATGGAATACATGTGCAAGCGATGGTGGAGCAGAGAGACCGAGGGTCCTTGAAAGCATCCTGGGCTGCCGTGCTCATCTGAGACCACCCGTCTCCAGGTTCCTCTACCCAAAAAAGAAAGAAAAGCTTATCTTGTTTAAGCCACTTTTAGTTGAGGTTTTCTGTTACTTGTAGCCAGATTCACCACAGTTTGTAGCAGATATAGTTAGGGTCCTGTACACTGTTTGGGTCACTTTTATCCACGAATGACAGTAATTCTGTATTAAAAGGTTGCCTACTGTCTGCAGCCCTGGGCAACTGCTCTTTGGTTTCAGTGGGGTTGCTCTAGGAAAGCGGAGGAGGGCCCCCTCGGGCCATTGCCCTCCTTTTTTTTCTTTCACACTTGCCTGGTGAGATCTTATCCACTGCCCCCCCCCCCCCCCCCCCCCCCCCCCCCCCCCAACGCCAGTATAGTTTCCTTCTGGTCTCTCTCACCTGTGAGCTATACACAGCCAGGACCCTGGCTGAGGCAGCTGGAGGGAGAGGCTGAGCCGGGAGAATGAAGGTGAACAGGAGGACGGGAATTTGGACTGGACAGCTGAGCTGGATACGGCCTTTGTCGTAAACAGCTCAGTCCACTCTTATCAGCAGCAGTGCTCACACTTGGGTTAAAATTCCTTCTTCTTTCCCTCCTTTCTTGGTCCTTGACCCCTTTGTGAACCAGTCACCTTAGGCAAGAATCTCTAAGAAACTCAGGGATGGACGCTCACTCCTCGTTGTAGATATGCCGTTTGTACATCACGTGAGCGTTCTTTTTTCCTGAGGAGAGTAAATTCCTTTCAAAGAAAAAGAAATATTCCAGTACAGCTCATACCTACTCCCAAAGTGATTCGACAAAGCTGGCGACAGGCCTAGAGAGAGAAAGGGGGACTGTGAAGAAGAAAACAAACACACAGCGAAACAGCGAACGTGGGCTCAGTGGACAGAGACGTCTCCGCTGTGTGCACTCTCTCCTGAGGAGACCTTTGCTCATGTGTCTGTGTCACCTCCATTCTCACGCACACAATCTTGGCCCTAGTGGCTGGACTAGCCTTCCCTCAAACCACTGCCTCCCCTTGTTCAAAAGACACCGCACTCCAAACTCGATGCCCCACCTGCTTCCTCAGGGGACCCTCCGCACCCCTTACTCGGAACCCTTACCGTGTTCTCTGGAAAGGAGCTCTTTGTGGACGTCTCCTTATTTAACTCCGTGCCTTGAGCGCCCAGCCCTTGGCCTAGCAGAGAGTAGGTCATCAGTGAATATTTCTTGACCTTGGGCAGGAAGTGATAATCACAGTATCTTCTAAAAACTAAGTGACCAATTATTACTTGCAAAGTACTAGTTAAAAAAATTATCCCTGAAATTAAAAAAACAAACCAAACATTGTGCAAGGCTAAGAAAGATGGAAAACTGCCCAAGGCTGGAAGATAGAAATCTGAATACATCTGGGAACTGTGAATGGGAAATAAATAAATAAGTAAAACTCTTCGCTGATGTTAGGAAAGGTCTTTTGCAATGGAACATCGGAAACTTAAACAATCATGATGTATGCCAATACAAAGCAGTGCATATTATGTCAATGCAAAAGATACAAGGTGGAGTGGTTTAGAGCATGTGCTTGGCAGCCAGATCTCAAAGTTCATATTCCAGCTCTGCCACTTCCAAGCTGTGCGAACTTAGGCAGGTTACTTAACTTCTCTGTTTCCGTAGCTTCATTATTTGTAAAATGCAGATTCTACTAATGCTTTCCTCAGTGAACTCTTATGAGAATTAAAGGAGTTAATATAAATAAAGCACTTAGAAAAGTGCCTGGTACATAGAAAGGGTTACATAAGTACTTATTACTATTGTTATTGTTGTCATTGTTATAATTTCCTGTCTTAAAGCACAACCCATGACAACAAAAAGAAGGAAAACTGAAGGTTGGTCACCTAACACAGTAACAGAAGTCAATGCTAAGGACGATGTGGATTAAGATGGCAGTGTGGATCACTCATTACTTTAAAAGAGGCTCTTAAAATTATACTTTTACAAACCCTTTGCTCTGAGGGTAAACACACAAGGGAAGGCACATAGAGTCCCTTGACCCTGCCCCTACTGTCCCCTTCTATATTGTGTCTATGCCAAATTTTATGATTTGTCATTAAGTACAAATTATTAGTTAATGCAATAAGAATTCTTTAGAAATGCATTTTGGGAATCATATAGAAGTTGCTTTGAGAACATAATACCAGACAATTAAAGTTTCATTATTGCTTGCTGTGGAACTCATATACTCATCAAAGTTCTCAATTAAGTGGAGTGTGGGAGTGAAACTTTCCAAATCTTGGTCTAAAGCCTTTTGTGGAAACAGCTTCCTGATCCTTATTTGAATTTATATTAGCAGGCATTTGTGTAATGTGTAACTTCTTCTGAGATGCCTGGCTCTTTGGACTTTAGGAACATTAAAAGTATAACAAAGTTTCTAGGCTCTTAGCTCTTACAGGTCTTCCTTCCTTCTTCTTACGTTTGATAAGACTCATCATAGAATACTGTCATCTTTGGTTAGTTCACCTCAGTCTTCTTCACTGTGAAAACTCTTTCCTTCCACTATAATTAATTCAACAAATATTTAATGATCATCTATTCTGTGGAGGAATGTAAGGTTCATAAAGGCAGTTTCCATGTCTGTCATGTTTGTCACTATATCTCCAGTGCCAACTATGGTGCATTGCATAGAAAGGACTTTCCAGAAGTATTTGGTAAAGAAGTATGAATAAAGGTCCTATACTGAAGCAGTGGAGTATAGTAGAACCAGCATAAGCTTTAGATTTAGGTTCAAATCCCAGTTTTTCTAATTCTTACCTATGGGATCTACAGCAAGTTGCTTAACAAATTCACCTTTTTAAAAAAATAGTAAATGGAGATATCTATTTTATAAAGATTATGGGAATTCAGCAAGAAAATAGTTTATTAAAACTCCTACTAAGTGTATAGTATGTTCTGGGGACTGCATTTCAAAATACAGAGCCTTAAAAATTGAGTGGATTGGGGCCGGCCCCATGGCCGAGTGGTTAAGTTTGAGCGCTCCACTTCAGTGGCCCAAGGTTTCACGGGTTCGGATCCTGGGCGTGGACATGGCACCACTCATCAGGCCTCGCTGAGGCAGTGTCCCACATGCCACAACTAGAAGGACTCACAACTAAAAAATATACAACTCCAGTATACAACAGTATACTGGAGGGGTTTGGAGAGAAAAAAAGCAGAAAAAAAAAAAAAAAAGATTGGCAACAGTTGTTAGCTCAGGTCCCAATCTTTAAAAAAAAAGAAAAAAAATTGAGCGGATTATAACTGCTGTTCTTAAGAAACTTCCACATAATAAGATAAAAAGACAAGTCACAGAATATTATGGAAATGTTACAGGTGTTCAAAGCAGGGACAGATGACACATATTTGAGGGAATTAGGAAAGGAGGTGGCAAATAAAATGGTCCTAAAGGATAGTTAGTATTTCAACAATTAAAATAGGTAAGCATATCCAGATTGAACAGAAGATAAGCAGGGAGGTAAAAGGTATTGAGTGTGACTGAAACAATGTCAGTTACTCTTTTGGCTGAAATGTAAGGGTGACACCGGCAAGCAGTGACAGATACGCAAGAAATGTGGGGTGAGCCCATATTGGTGGTGTCCGATTCTTTAATCCAGTAGACAGCAACTCCCGACGGTTTGGCAGGCCAATGGAGTAACAGGTTGTAAGGTGGAAGCACCCAAAAGTGGAGAGATCAGTCAGGAGAGGCTATTGCACGATTTCAGGTAAGACGTAATAGAGGCCTACAGCAGGAGAAGGGCAGAGGGAATGCCGAGAATCCACAGGGTGTGACTAGTGCCCCGCACGGGAGGGGAGGAAAGAGACAGAGCGAGGCACCCCAGCGACTGGAGCCATTTACACGAACGGGTAAGTCACAAGAAGGTGTCGGCTAAGGTTTCGGATACGGGTCAGCTTGAGGTTTGGGTTGCACCTCGCTGCCTCCTTCCCTTTTTTACGTCCCTCTTTTTTCAGGGCCACCCCCACCTCCCTCCCTCTCTCTCTCCACTGGGGAATTGAGTTTTCTGTCCTCAACACGACCCTGCGTTCATCTCCAAGCTCCCGTCGTGCTCGCACGGCGGGAGGACCACAGGTCAGGGCCGGGGCTGCCGGCACCCCACCCGCGCGATCCCCTATCGCCTGCGCCCGGGCAGCCTCCACGCTGGCGCCGCCACGGCGCCCCGGCCAATAGGCAGGCCCCAGGGCTGGGCCTCGCCCGGCCATTGGCTGGCGCGGCCGTGGGGAGAGATGGTGCGGTGCGCTTCTCCGCGCCGGCGGCAGCTGTGGGCGGTTGTTAAGGCGACCGTTCGTGACGTCACGCGGTCAGGCCGGGCAGCCCCCAGCTGATTGGCTGGGCGATCGGACGATCCTTTCTTATTGGTCGCACGCTGCCGGTCCCGAGCGTGCGTCGGCTCGGGTTCCTTCCGCCCCGCGTCTCCGTGGAGTGGAGACGGGCGGAGCGCCGGCCCCTGCTTCGGTGGCCTCTAGCGAGACCGGGAGGTGAGGCGGGCGGGGGCCGAGAGGGGCGGCCGGGGTGGCGGGCGGCAGCGGGGTCGGCCGCGCTGGGGCGGGTGTCGGGCTCCGGCGCCGGCAGCCGGTGCGGCTTGGCGGGGCGGCGGCCGGGCGGCGGGGACTGCCGGAGACGCCCTTGAGGCGGCGGCCGGGCGGAGGGGTGGCGGCGCTCGCCGCGGGGTCACGGCCCCCCGTGCAGGGAGGGGGCCGGGCCGGGTGGCCTCGGAGGCCCCCCGATTGGGGCAGGGCTGGGGGCTCGGCGGGGAGCGTGCGGAGGGCCGCGCCCGGGCGTCAGCTGCCCGGCGAGGCCGGGGGGGAGCCCCGCAAACTCTGCTGACCGGCCCGGCGCCGCTGGCTGGATCTGCGTGCACGTGTCCGGGCCTTTCCAGGAGACGCGGGGTGAGAAGATGCAGAGCCAGGGTAGGGACTCGCCCAGGGACTGAAAGGATGCTGCTGCTGCTGGGTTTTTTTTTTTTTTTTCTTGCGAAGGGCGTAGTCTCGTTGGTGCTGGTGTGCCTTAGTTCTAACCTTGCAGGGTTTCGGGATTACTTGGTTTGGGTTAGGAAGAACCTACCTTGCAGGTTCAAAAATAGAACAATTTCTGCGGGAGGAGGAGGTGGATGTGCTCCGTCCTACATGGTCGCTTGAGATATTTCAGGGCTTGAGGACATGCCTTCTTAGACTTGGTTCTGGAGGTCGTAGGAAACAGTTGTTTCCGGACCATGCTTAAATAATCGAGCTTAATATCAACATCTCACAACGGAGAGAATGTACTTTTTTGTTTGCTTGTGAATTTATTTTCCTCTCCACGCAATTAAAGACATTTTATGACTTCAGAGATTATCGAGCAAGGGCCTGGAGTGTGCTTTGGGGAGAGCCTGGATTTTGCGGGCTTGCTTTGTTGTACTGTCTTTCCAGAATTTATGATGAATTTGTCAGTAAGGACAAATGGAAATTAGTAACATGAAGGTTAAAAAGTTGTGCAAAGATTACAGCATTAACCTATGGAAACGTGTGTGTGGCACAAGCATTTCAGGATGAGTGTGTATGTATGTGCACTCCGTTTATTCTTGTATTGTCTGGTTTCTGTAACCACATCTATCTATATCAGTATCTATTTAGGTTGAGCCATATGAAATTGCTGATATTTGAAATTCAGCTTTCTTTACCTACAAAAAGAGCAGTTTCATATGGTTCCACTTAATACTTGTCTTTGTGAAAGAACTTTGGAGGTCTGGCTTCCTAAGTGAGTAAAGAGGGATACGACTTACAAACAGGTAGCATGTAATAGAATTAGGTGTAGAATCCGGGTTTCCTGATTTCCAGTGCAGTAATTTTTTTTTTCTGGGTTACTGGGTTGAACAGCAGAATTCTAGATCCTGTCAGGATTAAAAATGACTCAGTATAAGACATGGTTCTTTCCTTCAAAGAAACAAAACCTATACAGCTATTACTTTAAGAACAGTGTAAGATAGTGTATAATCAAATACCGGAATGTGAACACAGGAGGAGTGCTGAGTGGGAGGAAAGAATCAGAGTATGATGCCAAAGCATCCTTTTCTGCAGTTGGCCATGGTAGGTGGTTCCTGTAGCATACTGGATTGCAGTTTGAGGATTCCTTTGAATTTGAATTATCCATTCTTTTGAAGAATCTGTGAAATATTTGCAGCATGCTTCAGTCTGAATAAGCAAGGCGTACATCACCTGTTTAACTTGATTTTTTTAAAGTACAATTTATTTTTATTGCAGCATGGCATAAATACTGTCTCTTGACTTTGCGTAAGCTGTCCTGTAGCCTGCTGGTGCCACTTGCAATTGCTGATGAAGGTGCAAGACTGGATTCTATGGCATTTACATGCTTTGCATAATCACAGGGGAATGAAGAGGGCACTTGTGAGGAATAGCAATGTGTGCAATTATGGTTACTTTTGACACATTTGTACATTCGTTTGCTCAGTTTGTGTTTCCAAACAGGTAAGATTCTCTTTGGGGATGGTTCAGGGATCCTGTGTAATTCTTTTCCCGAATGTTGCAAAGATGACTTTACACCTAGGAAAGAAAGGTTGCAGAATTGACAATGCTGCCATGGAATCTTTCTGAGGGAAAACATAATGTGCCTAATGTATAATTATGCGCTAATAATGCTAAACTGATTTGTGATCAAATAGGGGTGCCTTCTTGCTTGCAGCTCAGATTTTAATTCAACTGAATTAACTTTAATAGTGAAGAATACATTGACTTGATAGAGAATAATCTGAGTTGAGGGGTGTTTTGAGGAGGGAGTGCTAGAAATCATTTTGACCTGGTTTTGAAACGTGTTTTTAGTTCGTTCGTTTTCTGGAACATTGATGCTAGTTGATCCTTTAGACTAGTTTGTAGGGTTTTGTTTTTTGTTTTAAAATATAAGAAGGAAGTTATGTGATAGAAGTTATGTGATACCATCATGAAAATCTAGCCTCTTATGAGGCTTTTGGTTTTAATGAAGTAGGGTTCAAATCTAAGATATGATTAATACTCTTTGATACTTTAAGTCCAAGTCCATGCTAATTTAACAGAAAGTATTTTTGTTATTGTTTCATTTTCCAGGGTAGTAGATATGTAACCTCTCTTCCCCACCCCATCCACCTTTTATACGTTCCCTGAATGCTCCCTGAATGCGCTGCATTCAGCTTTTAACTGGTGGGGCTAGAGGAGGGGAGTTAGATACATATCTAGGGGACTTTGAAAAAGAAAGTCATCTTTGGGTCTGTTTCAAGATGTGTCAATAAAATGCATGCTACTGTAGTTTAAGAATTTGTTTTTAATTAAGCTGGTATTTGTTGAGCAACTGCTATATGTGAGTGCAAGGTGCTGGAGGATACACTGAGGAATAGGGCTGGGGAGGAAGGTTGAAGAGGCATGAATAAGCACAAGCAGATGCCTGCCACGTTTATATATCTTAGTGACTGCCAGCCTTTTAAAATTGAGCCCCACTATAAGAAATGCCTGTTATGTTGGAAGCCAGTACCCACACTCGTAGGTGTATAGTTTCGTGAAACAAAGTTTCAAGAAGTAATACCTATCCATACTACATGTCTTTACTCACATTTTTTTCTATTTTATTTTATTAAAAAATGTTTGTTCTCACTCACAAAATTGCTTTCGTGATCTAATTGATGCAGTGAAGGGTTGTGACCTACAGTTTGAGAACCACGTATGTAGCTGCTGGCCTGGTATGGTTGAAATGTAGAGAGAACAGTGATGCAGTCAGAGAGAACGCGTAGTTGTTGCTTTATTTCCTAAAAGCTACTCTTCTTTTCTTTTTTTTTTTTTTAAAGATTTTACTTTTTTCCTTTTTCTCCCCAAAGCCCCCCAGTACATAGTTGTATATTCTTCGTTGTGGGTCCTTCTAGTTGTGGCGTGTGGGACGCCGCCTCAGCGTGGCTTGATGAGCAGTGCCATGTCCGCGCCCAGGATTCGAACTGACGAAATGCTGGGCCGCTTGCAGCGGAGCGCGTGAACTTAACCACTCGGCCATGGGGTCAGCCCCTATTTTCTTTCCCTTAATCCTTTAGGTAGATTAATACTTTCTCTTCCTTAATTTGGTATCTTTTAAAATTTTGTCTTCAATAAATGAATTTCTTAGTTATTACTATAAATGTGAGATTCATTTGAGTTCTTGCTAGTGTGTCAAACAATGGGCTTAGTGTTTAAATCTTAATTTTAATTGATTTTTATGGGTAGTTAATATGCTTTACATTAGCATTAATTTTAGTGTAAGAAATAAGGCTTGCAAGTTCCTATATTAGAGACCAGTGACTATCAGTTGTTTAAAAAATCAGAATGTCAAAATCATGATTATTTAGCAGCAAACCTGGGGAGTTTAGTCGTGGTAGGCGTTAGATCCCAGTTAGCTCTGTGTTCTGTTGGGAAGCTTTGAATGCCGTAGACATCTGCTTTGCCGGCCGGCCTCTTCTCTCGGTACTGCTCTAGCATTTTGATTAGCTGTAGAAGCCTGGGGAAAGACTGTCCTCTGGTGACACAACATTGGGAAGGTTTATTTAACGTCATTTGGCTAGTGACATTGTATCGTGTGTCGGATGGAATGGAGAAGTATGATGGGCGTTGAGGAGCTTTCTGTATAAGTTGAGATCGTGGTTTACAGGAGGACGCTCTACCAGAATGTGAGGAAGGAACAGGGTGCTTATTGCATTTTCTGTCGGGGTAATTAGAAATACATGTGAATAGTTGTTTCTCACTGTGTTTTCTGCTTTATCACTCTCCTCCTCGGCTGACATATTATTTGGTTTGGTCTTAAATGCTTGAATTCATGCAACTTGTAAGAAATAACTGCTTATAAGTTGGTTGCTAGTGAATAATAGAGGATTTAAGTGTTGTCAGTAAAAAAGTATTAACAGAGTTCTCTTATTTTAATTTTACAGTTATTTTCCAGAATTTTAAGGAACACTATCAAATACTGTTATTTATACGTACAAGACATCGTGCATACAAAGCGGGGTTTTACATGACACTTTTCCTTAGGATCTTTTCCTAAAAATACAATGAGCTGTATACTAAGTGTTCTGACTTGATGTTCCTTACAGGATCCAGGGATTCAGTAGCTACAATGTTGTCAAGACTTTTCCGAATGCATGGCCTCTTTGTGGCCTCCCATCCCTGGGAAGTCATAGTGGGGACGGTGACACTGACCATCTGTATGATGTCCATGAACATGTTTACTGGCAACAATAAGATCTGTGGTTGGAATTATGAGTGTCCAAAGTTTGAAGAGGTTTGTGAAATTAATTTGATATTGACTACAGTAAATTGCATTTTCAGTTTCTAAAGAATGCCTCCTTTTAGAGACTGTAAAATCAAAAAAAGTTAATAAGTAAAATCTTTTAGTATTCATGAACGTATCTCAAATTTCCACTTAGTTATATAGTAGGGAAATGCACTGGAAATGCTTTTGTCTTTTGTACACAAATGAATGTAATTGACTTTACTTGAGAAACATAGCTTTTATAAGTGACAGTGAAAGACGATTAGCTTAACCAGTGAGTGGATTGTTTAAAAATTGGATTTAATTTTTTCCCTTTTTTGGGAGGAAGATTAGCCCTGAGCTAACATCTGCCAATCCTCCTCTTTTTTGCTGAGGAAGACTGGCCCTGAGCTAACATCTGTGCCCATCTTCCTCTACGTTATGTGTGGGATGCCTGCCACAGCATGGCTTGCCAAGCGGTGCCATGTCCGCACCCGGGATCTGAACTGGCAAACTCCAGGGCACTAAAGCAGAACATGCACACTTAACCGCTGCGCCACCGGGCCAGCCCCTGGATTTAATTTTTTATTTGCATATTTAATATTTTTCGGACTTGTTTTGTGCTTACATTTATCATAATATGTAAAGTAATGATGTGTACGAAATATAAATTCTTATTTTTAATTGCTTATTTTAAAAGCTAAAGCTGTTGGAATTTTCTGTCTCTCCCAATAGGATGTTTTGAGCAGTGACATTATAATTCTGACAATAACACGATGCATAGCAATCCTGTATATTTATTTCCAGTTCCAGAATTTACGTCAGCTTGGATCAAAATATATTTTAGGTAATCATTTTGTACATTAAACTTCTTTGTGTGCTACCAGACTTTTGATTTGCTATGGAAATACACCTGTTTGTTCAAATCGTGTGTGGAAATTTATGTATTGCTTAAAGTGTGCTGCGTACATTCAGTAGTTTCCTTATTATTGGGAGTTAGTCATTCTCATATTTGAGACCTTAGTAATCTGTGGAAAATAGTGCTCTTTCTCTCACAATATTGCATGGGACTATATGTTGTTATTTGTGTAATGAAGGATCCATTTTTTCAGTTTGTTGAATTTTGTCCTTTTAGGTATTGCTGGCCTCTTCACAATTTTCTCAAGTTTTGTATTCAGTACAGTTGTCATTCATTTCCTAGATAAAGAATTGACAGGCTTGAAGTAAGTATTTAAAGCTTGAGTATACTTTTTTTCAAAATATGTTGAGAACTTTTCTTCTCTATGTTATAAAGTATTGTAATATATAAATTTCCAAATGTTTATAGAAAATATGGGGAAAATTTTTATGTAATCATTTAGCTGTTTGTATTGCCTGTTAGCGTTTCAGTATCCTTTCCCACTTCTTTTGTCCTTGAAGAAAACCTCTGAGATTGTGCTGTGTACAGTAGTGCCCCCTTATTTGTGGTTTCACTTCTCGCAGTTTCAGTTACCTGTGGTCAGTTGCAGTCTGAAAATATTAAATAAAAAATTCCAGAAATAAACGATTCCTAAGTTTTAAGTTTGGGCCATTCTAAGTAGCGTGCTAAGAATCTCTTGCCTGTCGCTCCACCCTACTCAGGATGTGGCTCATCCCTTTGTCCAGTGTATCCTTGCTGGACGTGCTGCCTGCCTGTTAGTCACTTGGCAGCCGTCTCGGTTACCCAGTCAGCTGTCGAGATGTGGCCGCACTTGTGTTCAAGTCATCCTTATTTTACTTAATAACAGCCCCAAAGTGCAAGAGTAGTGATGCTGGCAATTTGGATATGCCAAAGAGAAGTTATTGTTGTCAATCTCTTACTGTGCCTAATTTATAACTTAAACGTGATCATAGGTGTGTATGTATAGGAAAAAACATAGTATATGGAGTTTGGTAGTTTCCTTGCATTCAGGCATCCGCTGCAGGTCTTGGAACGTATCCCCGCAGATAAGGAGGGACTGCTGTATACGCTCTGTAACTTCCTTATGCCTAGTAATAGTTTATCAATGTCTTTGCGTGTCCTTAATGTTAAAGTAAATTATTTCTAGTCGTTGTTTAATAGTCTCCTGTATGAATATATTGTAGTTTATTTAAGTCTCTAGGACTGGATTGTTAGGTTATTTAATTTCCTCCATTAATAGCAACTCTGTGAGGAATGCTTAGCTACATTTTTGTTCATATTCATAGTCATTCTCTTAGGATCCATTCCCAGGAGTGAGACAGTGACTGTGTAAGCTTTTAGGGCTTTTGAGTACTGTTATTGCCAATTTATTCTCCAGAAAGCTTGTTTAGTTTATGCTTCCACAAGTAGTGGCTAATGAAAAAAAATTGCATATATTCCACTTTTGTTCCCCCATACCAATTCAAGGAGACATTTTTTACTAAGGGTGATATTTTGCTGTAAAATTATCAAAGTTATATTTCTGTGTAAATATATTTACATTTTTACCATTGCACTTTTTGGTCCACAATAAGGTATATGGCCTAGAGGGTCGTGCAGTGCATGAGGAGGAAAATGTTTTGTTTTATAAAAGATTTTTTAAGCCGTATTTTTTCCTCTGTTCAATGTCCTGCATCGTCTTATTTTTTTTCCAGCGAAGCTTTGCCCTTTTTCCTGCTTCTGATTGACCTTTCCAGAGCGAGTGCTCTCGCGAAGTTTGCCCTCAGTTCCAACTCGCAGGTGAGTATTATTCCTAAGACGTGGATGTTAATAGTATTTCTTTTTTCAGTTGGTTTACATTAATAGGAAGGATTAGTAGAGTTTCTTCATAGTCCAAGATTCAGGAATTGCCCTCAGTTTCCAGTTTACTTGTCACTTTCTAAGACTGATCTTCCTAGATGCCTAGGAGCTGTCCCCATGTCCAAGAACTCGCTCGCAATTTCGTAGCTTCTGGAATTTGGAGTCTTCCCATCCTCCTTCGTGAAGGTTTCAGAAGTTAGGGTGCTATGGCTTTTGGATAAATGAGAGTGTCTACCTAGTGAAACATGTCAGCAAGCAGGACGGGATCGGATGGGAGAGGGTCTCGGGGAGAGTTATTTCCAAACCCCTGAGGCAACCTAGCATCATTTCCCATCTTCAGTTTTATCTTGGTGTTTGCCACTCACTTTAAAGAACCTCACATTTTTAACGATTTGGCATCAGAGTATCTGAGTATAAAATAGCATGTACTTCTGCCCTGATTATGTATTTGATAGATGTTTATGATCATTTGAACATGTTGACGAGGATATGATTTTGGTTTCATAACACTGACATGGGCTCAAAAAATTTGCACCTAAGAACTTCTATCAATGTAGCCAAAATATAAAATATTGTAGGATTTAATTATGTGGGATTTAAAAGACAGGATTAATGCACTGCGTCAAAGGAATCTTCCCAAGAAATAGCTCATTCAGTGCCAAGGGAAAGCAGGGCGCTGTGTATGTTCTTTTATTTAATCCTCTGTCTTAGTACATACTTCGCGTCTGGAATGTCTGTTAGTCTTATCGCATTGTATATTTTATTCTTTGCAAAGTAAATTAGATTTTAGTACAAGTCCTAGGATGCTCTCTGACATTTAATTTAATTAAGTAATTAATTATTTAAAATTTTTTCTTTCTTTTTTTTTTTAAAGATGGGCACCTGACCTAACAACTATTGCTAATCTCCTTTTTCTTTTTTAAAGATTTTATTTTTCCTTTTTCTCCCCAAAGCTTCCCGGTACATAGTTGCACATTTTAGTTGTGGGTCCCTCTAGTCGTGGTGTGTGGGATGCCGCCTCAGCATGGCTTGATGAACAGGGCCATGTCCATGCCCAGGATCCGCACCGGCGAAGTTGTTTTGTGCCTCATCCTCATTGATATGTTTGGTGTGTGTTTTAGGATGAAGTGAGGGAGAATATTGCCCGTGGAATGGCGGTTTTAGGTCCCACGTTCACCCTCGACGCTCTTGTAGAATGTCTTGTGATTGGAGTTGGTACCATGTCAGGTTTGTAAGCACTTTTTAATATATCTTAATATATCTTGAAATAAATTTGTAGATAAAGAGAAAAAAGAACATCTTAGATTGCAATGGTTATTCTTAAATTCTGACCTTTAAAAATGTAACATGAAGAATTTTCTGATGTGAGTATGTGGGTGTATCTGACCTTGTGCCTGTCTGCTTCAGGGAACACTCAGTAGCGGGCTACTGATTTATTTCTCACTCTTGCATCCTCTTGTTCTGTGTTCCACTCTTTTGATGACTTTGTGGTGGTTTAGTTTCTGTTTTCTTGTTTGGTTTTTAACCAAGATTGCATTACAAGGCTCCTCTGGAAAGCGCCTTCCAGCCCCTCCTGTGGCCCAGACTAAATGAGCAGTTGGGTTCCTGTGGGAGACAGTGCGCGAGCCAGGAGCTGGACAGATCTAAGTTAGGCTGTTGGAAGCTTTGATGAGTGTGCAGTACGTCTTAGCAAGTACCCGGCACTGGCCTCAGCACTTAGGGGTCTTCGTCTTTAATTGGATTGTAGAGAATTAGATGTTAAATAGAAACAGAGAACTCCATTAGAAGGCGCAAAAATTATGGCCTGGCATGGAAATTTTCCAGAATGAATATATCACGCTCTTGTCAAGCTGTCCTAACCGTTAGGACTAGATTTTATGGCTTTGTCATAAAGGCCACACCTAGTTAACCACTGTTCTAGTGTATTTCCTGGTGCCTTAGTGCCCTCAATAAGGGGCTTCATTCTTTGAGAAATAAATTATCTAACTTTTAGGAGGTAGTTGATTGTCATTATTAGTTGAGGTCTCTTCACTGGGTGTATGCTAAATATATAATATTTCTTCTGACTTTCTGAGGGTAGATTGATTTATTCAGTTATTTAATCTGTCATTCAACGAAGATTTTATTTAGCAAAGAAGATATTTTTTAAAATTATGTTTTTAAATGTGCATACCTTAAAATCTACTCTTTTGGGGTTGAGTTTTGACAAAGATACAGTCATGTAAGCACCACCACAATCAAGAAAAATGTTTTTGATCAGGTGAAACATACCTATGTGATTTTATTCAAGCAAAAGAGTATATAAGAAGATGAAGAGGATTAGCCAGGAATTCACCCACAGTAGTGGGCCATGAAACTAAGGGTCATTCGTTTGAAACTGATGTGCAAAGTAGGATAGTGAGTTTTGTCATGATAGATCAGAGAAGTGGACAAGGGAAGGGGTTTCATTTGTGGTTGGAGAAGCCAGTTAGGAGACCTTACAGCTACACAGAAATGATGTAATTAGGGATTGGGCGCGGGGTAGGATGGAAGGACAGATTTAACACTTATTCACTAGGAAGTCAGCCTTTGGAACGCTAGTAAAAAAGGAAACGGTCTTACCTTTTTGAAAGTGTGTAGATTGGTGCTGTCCCTTTGTGTAGTAGCAAAGTGGCACGGAGAGACTGTTCTGGGACAGAGTAAGGAAGAATGCCTGCAGAACGTATGGCAGCAGGAGTGGCGTCACACGGCCGCAGATATTAGATTACTAGATAGCCATGTCCGAAAGCAGTGGTCAGTAATGGCTTCGATGGTCTCAAGTTTGAGATTATATTCAGCTACTATTTCAAATATAGATTGTTCATAATGCTATTCTTATTGTAATTTTGTATTCTCTTGAATTTCCACATTTGCGAGTAATTGCTGCAGAATTTAAAAAAAAGTACAATGTATGTTTTCTATTATTTAGTCAAATGATCTACTGTAATTCAGAAAATAAAATATAACTGAGCTTTTTTGTGTTATTCTAGTTAGCAGTTTTTATAGGAAAAGGGACTCATTTTTTTATTTCAAAGCATTGGTAAAATTAAAAATTAAGAAATAAAAAATAGGGGCTGGCCTGGTGGCATAGCACTTACCTTTGTGTGCCCCACTTCAGCAGCCCACGGTTTGCAGGTTTGGATCCTGGGCACGGAGCTAACGCCACTCGTCAAGCCACGCTGTGGCAGCAAACCACATAAAATAGAGGAAGACTGGCACGATGTTAGCTCAGCAACAGTCTTCCTCAAACAAAAAGAGGAAGACTGGCCACAGATGTTAGCTCAGGGCCAGTCTTCTTCACACAGACACACAAATAAATAAATAATAAAAAACGATAAAAAGGTGAGGGATAGTTACCAAACCTTCCCAACTAACTTCTCATAATCAACTGTGTATTAGTGCTTTAAGGAATTGTGAAAATGATTTTGAAGGGTTTGATAGTTTGTGTTTTTTGTGTGTCCTTCCCTCTGCCAGCGTAAGAGTCAAAGCAAAAGTTAACAGTTTTCTATTGGTTCTTTTCCTAGAGGTTTTTTTTCTTTTCTTCCTACTGTTGTAGTTTAAATTTTATCCTAACAAATTCCAAGACACTAGTCAAATTCTCTTCCTTTTTAATGAAATTTGGTTGCGTAACATGATTTGGTTGGTCATTGTTGAAGTTTGGGGAATGAGCGTTTTGTTACACAGAAGTTTTCACCGTCGTGTTATTTGGAAATAACGTAAGAAAAGTAGTATTCCTTTGGATTAAAACCACAGTAGCCCGTCTCCCACTCTGTTCTTTGAAAAGAAAATTGGCTTCTAATTAACTTTATAGTCACAATTCCCCTCTCATCTCCATTGTCATTGCTTTGGTTGAGCTCCTCATACTCAAAAGAAACGAAGTGTTTTTATATTTAATATGATGACATCAGAACTATGTTTTATATTCAAGTTTATTCATAAAGTAGGGGAGTAGGATTTGGTAATCCCAGGTCTTTTCTAGTGTATAGTTCTGTTACCTTCTATTTGAGAAGATTACCAAATGATACCTTAAACATTTTGTAGTGCAACGTTGGTTAACTTTGAATCTTGAGTTGCATTTTTGCGTCATAATCATTTTTCAAACAGATCGATGAAATGAAGCCAAATTGTAGGAACCTCAGTAGACACCATAGAGGTTATATTGAAATCAGAGTTCAGTAGTACACATAAAAGATTTTTATGGTACTATATCAGGAGTGGTACCATTGGCAGTATGTTTTACTTTTATGAAAAGTCCTTGGTCCGCAGGTGAATTGCTTTTGTGTTAATGAGTGGGACTGGATCAGTAGTACACTTGTGGGGGGTGTTGCTCCCTTAGAGTTGCCTGTCCTTTATGTCCTTGCTTCAAAACAGTACAATCAGTCATACGTGGCTTAATGACAGGGATCTGTTCTGAGGAATGCGTCACTAGGTGATTTCGTCACTTTGCGAACATCGTGCAGCGTACTTACACACACACACGTGGTACAGCCTACACACCTAGGCTGTATGGTACACATCTTATGGGACCACCGTTGTGCATGCAGTCCGTCGTTGACCAAAACGTCGTTGTGCAGTGCATGACTGTACCGTCATTTCATAAAAGGGGATTATCAAATGTGTATTAAACACAACCACCACGCCTGGCATTGTGATGTTGGGGACATGGAAGAAGACGAGGCCTCTGCCCCTGATGGAGTTAATCCTTCTGTGGTCTCAGTCTTAGCATTACCTCTGAGTTCCTAATTCTTTTTCCAGCAGATGGCAAAGAGCTTAATATAGTAATATTTTCATGTATTTGTCCACCTATAGGAAGAGTTCTTGTGATGTATGCAGCATCAAAAATACACATACGTTACTAATGATATATTTGATTTTTCTCCAACCAGGAGTGCGTCAACTTGAAATTATGTGCTGCTTTGGCTGCATGTCTGTTCTGGCCAACTACTTTGTGTTCATGACTTTCTTCCCGGCTTGTGTGTCCTTGGTTTTAGAGGTAAGAGCGTTCTTCCTTACGGCCTTAGTAGAAGAGCAGTCTTTCTCATTAGATCCGTTCACCTAAATAAATCAGTACCTTCTAGCGAATGCTGACTTGCTTTGCAGCTGTCCCGGGAGAGCCGTGAGGGCCGTCCAATTTGGCAGCTCAGCCACTTTGCTCGAGTTTTAGAAGAGGAAGAAAATAAACCAAATCCTGTGACTCAGAGGGTGAAGATGATTATGGTAATTACGTAGTTTTCTTCTCCCTTCAGTATCTTCAGTTTCACTGTCATATTCTGCTTTTTAATTTGGGCTTTTCCTTCTTTCCTCTTATCTTTGTGCAATTTTCGCCTCTTTCACTGATGCTCCTCTTCCATTTTTTTCTTAACTTGTGTCTCATTTCTTTGAGGGCCCTGGTTTTTATTAGTCTCTCCGCTAAACAGATTTTTTAAGTTCCTCTTCTTTCTCTCTTTGGAAACTTGTTCTCTGCGATGTTTTCAGTCATTGGTCACAGAGCACGCCTGGGCTTTCTTTTCATGGTGAGGAGAGGCCATGGAAGATAGTGTCTGGTTATCCAGTTGCTAAGGATGAGAAGGTTAGGTGCCGTTGATATGCAGGGATATATAATTTTTTTAATTTTATTTCAGTCTCTAGGCTTGGTTCTTGTTCATGCTCACAGTCGCTGGATAGCTGATCCTTCTCCTCAAAACAGTACAGCAGAAAATTCTAAGGTTTCTTTAGGATTGGATGAAAACGTGTCCAAGAGAATTGAACCAAGTGTTTCCCTCTGGCAGTTTTATCTCTCCAAGTAAGTTATCTGAGACCTGCTCTATTGTATATTAATCATAGCACTCTGCTACTAAAGGTTTAGGTTGTGCCTTTTACATTTCCAAGTAATAACATTTTAATTTGCTTTCTTTTATTTAGAATGATCAGCATGGATATTGAACAAGTTATTACCCTAAGTTTAGCTCTCCTTCTGGCTGTCAAGTACATCTTCTTTGAAAAAGCGGAGACAGAATCTACACTCTCATTGAAAAACCCTATCACATCTCCGGTAGTGACCCAAAAGAAAGTCCCAGACGACTGTTGTAGACGTGAACCTGTACTGGTCACAAAGAGCCAGAAATTCCACGCGGCGGCGGAGGAGATGAGGATAAACACAGAAAGAAAAGGTGATTTCTTATTCTCTTCACTGCTCATTCTTAAAATGCTGATTTGTCAAGAAGTTGAGTCCATTTTAAAACTTTCGTTCAGTGTTGTGAGATTTCTTTTGATGTCTTCAGCAGTTGAGGTTATAAAACCCCTAGTGGCCGAAGCTGACACCTCAAACAGAGCGACGTTCGTGGTCGGCAGCTCCTCTTCACTCATTGCTTCACCGGAACTGGAGACGCAGGAACCTGAAATTGAACTTCCCCTGGAGCCTCGGCCCGACGAAGAATGTCTGCGGATCCTTGGGGATGTGGAGGTGAGGGAATAAGGCACACTCAGGGCTGACGTCTTGTAAGAAAAGGAGCACCTGCTGAGTCCCAGGCAGTGTTGTGTGGTTTACAGGTTCTGGTCTTATTGATTTATTCCCTACAACCTTGTGAGGTAGGTGGAATGATCTCCATTGTTCAGGTGAGAAAGCTGAGGCTCCAGGACGTTTAAGTGTTTCCCAAAGTAATACATCTGGAAAATGGTAACGCTGGGAGCAAGAGTCCAAGATTTACTGACTCAAGAGTCACTGCTCTAATAGAGGAAGATTGTCATGGATGTTAGCTCAGGTGAATCTTCCTCAGCAAAAAAAAAAGGGAGTTAGTGCTCTTTCTCCCTTATTGCTGTTTATCATAGAGATGAGCAACTACTGTGTTCTCATTTGTGTGTCAAAGCCTAACAAAGGTTTAACACAGAAGTGAGATTCAAAGACAGAAGAAAGTTTGTTTTTTTAAAGTATGCTTGATTTTCACGAGGAAGCTTGCTTTCCTTGCTGAGGTTTGAACAGGGTGTTCTGCTCGCCTGCCCGTGTGAGTCCACGCATGCTTTATGTAATGTGAGTGTTGTGTCCAGCTGCATCTGCTGAGTCTGGTTCATTCTTCATTTACGTGCGTCTGAGTGAGAGGAGAGTCGGGTTTGGTTTTCTTTGTTACTTTCCTTTCCTTCATTCCTGTTAACATGAGTTTGGATATCTCGGGTGTCTTGCTGTGTACAGGGTTAGCAAAACTTACAAGAGTGGGCATCAGAATCTTAATTACAGGGTTTTTTTCCTCTATGAGTCTCAGTTGCAAAATTTAGTGTTTTGGTCTTAGATTTATTTAGTTTTCACATTTTCTAAAGAATTTACTTTCATTTTGATATTCTTCTTTCTACTGAAATCATCGCCTTTGGAACCCTAAAGTCCTTCGGGTTCTCCTCTTGAAGTCCTTGTGTCTTAGCCCTATTGAGAGCATATTTCTATTAATGGTTGATTTATTACGAATCATGTGAAGTACAGTCCTTCAAGTCTTTGTCATCTCCTTTCCTGAACCCCTTCCCATTTCTTTTTAATTTCTTTAGAAAGGTGCAAAATTCCTTAGTGATGCTGAGATCATCCAATTAGTCAATGCTAAGCATATCCCAGCCTACAAATTGGAATCACTGATGGAAACCCATGAACGAGGTGTATCTATTCGTCGACAGTTACTTTCCACAAAACTTCCAGAGCCTTCTTCTCTCCAGTATCTGCCTTACAGGGACTATAACTACTCCTTGGTATGTTATTTTCTTGATTTGAGAAGGTTTGCTGTGTAGCTTTTAGGCTAGTCTTGTAGCTTTGGTCTTTAGCTTTTTAGTTTTTTTGGTGACTGGTCTTTTATATGTGCATAGTTTTACAAAACATTTTCCTTTTTAAATCATTTTACTGTAATTTTGTATTCTGCTTATGATATAGGTCATAGAAATTAAAATATTTTTCCTGTTTATAGTCATTGCTCAAACATTTTAGTATTTTGAATATTTTTAAAGAGTAAATAAATTTTGTTGAAAAATGCACTAAACAATTAAGTTGGAAGAAAGTTGTTAATGACGAGGGCTATGTATTTGCAGTAGAGATTTTCACTTGGTGCCTGACTTTACCTTGTAGGTGATGGGAGCTTGTTGTGAGAATGTTATTGGCTATATGCCCATCCCTGTTGGAGTGGCAGGACCTCTGTGCTTGGATGGAAAAGAATTTCAGGTTCCAATGGCAACCACGGAAGGTTGCCTTGTGGCCAGCACTAACAGAGGCTGCAGAGCAATAGGCGTAAGTTGGCGTCAATCTATTGGCCTGTTTTAAAATACATTCTGGGCCAGGCCATGAGAAGAGATTTGGGGACAGTCAAGAATGCTTTCTGGGACAAGCTGAAGTGTTGTCAGGATTAACGTGTGCTCCTCTCCCATACTCTGGCAGCTTGGTGGAGGTGCCAGCAGCCGAATCCTTGCAGATGGGATGACCCGCGGCCCCGTGGTACGTCTTCCCCGTGCTTGTGACTCTGCAGAAGTGAAGGCCTGGCTTGAGACACCTGAAGGGTTCACAGTGATAAAGGAGGCGTTCGACAGCACCAGCAGGTATGTGTGTGGGTTTGGGTGTGTGCACGTTTATTTCAGAACCAGTGCCCTCTTCTGTGATCACTAAATGTAAGTGTTAACATATTGCCTGCTTAAGATGACGTAAGAAAATGTCAACTTTAAATGCATTCATTCAAGATGAGTGACACTGGTGCTTGGTTGCGGGGGCAGGGGGATGTTATCCAAGTGAATACATCTTTAGAGATAAATTAGGAAAAAAATACTGTGAGGTAGTAAGTTGTGTGTTGGTTTTATAAGGCTCACTTTTAGTAGACTGTTACTTTGCCCTAGGAGAGTTTTGACTTAGAATTGCCCTTTTTAGGAAGAGATTTTGCAAGTAGAAGTAAATATTAGTATAGTAGATATACTTGGAATGTAGAAAATTAAATTTATAAAGAAGCATAATCAGTACAAATGATAACCCCGGTATAATTCAAGCTCATATGCTTGTTTTTATTTGGACTTTTACAGTTTATGATGAAATGACTGTCTGCAGCCCTCCTTTTTTGTGGCATATACAAATAAGACAGTGTTAGTATTCTAATGTAACGTTTAGTTAAAGAAAAGTATGTATTGAATAATCTCTGTGAGCTTTCTTTTATGTGTAGGAAACTAGATTTTACGACAGCCTCCATCTTCTTAAAGAAATGTAAAAGTCTTTGCCTTTTTTGTTTATAGGTTTGCGCGTCTACAGAAACTTCACACGAGTGTGGCGGGACGCAATCTTTACATCCGCTTCCAGTCCAGGTCGGGCGACGCCATGGGCATGAACATGATTTCGAAGGTGAGCACAGACAGGCTACACCAGAACGTGCTCTGACGGGAGAGGGCCCTGGGGTCGGGAGACAGGCGGGGAGCAGACCAGCTGTTTACTCCGTGCCCTCCTGGACTTTTGAATTCTGTACCATGTACATAGACTCCTTACTCAGAGTTAATTGATGGACAGATTTTTATTGAAAGGTAAGTATTGATTCCTGTAACTCATGTTCTGTAAATCCAGCGTCTCTTGACTGGCGGTGTTTGTATTGGGTGCCTTTAATTTAGACTTGGCGTTACACGTGGTCTGCGTCTGCTCAGAAGCATTGGGAAGAATCTTGCGGTTACTGCCTCAAAACTTTGTCCTGTAAACCTTGGAAGCTGACCTCTTCTAGAGACTTCAAGACTTGTGTTTAAAAGACCAAGTTTATATGTATAGTCCATTTATTTTAATTATCTACTTATAAGAAGGTTGTGTATGGCTCACATTTATTCTACTGATATTTATTATTTACCAGACACACATGTAAAATGTTAAAGTCAGCTAGGCAGGCTAGCAAAATTTATTTTGTGGTTTACCTGTATGTAAGGACCATTCAGAGAGAGAGGGTCGTGGCTTAGTGCATAAGCTTTAAAAATCGCCAATAAACAGTACAGCACTTCCTCACAAAATTAAAAATGGAATTACTGTGATCTAGCAGCAACTCTCCTGAGTACCCACCCAAAGGAACTGGAAGCAGGGTCTCAAAGAGATATTTGTACACCCGTGTTCATGGCAGCATCAGTCACAATTGCCAAAAGGTGGAAGCAAACCCAAGTGTCCATTGACAGGTGGGTGGGCAAACCAAATGCGGTGTGGACATACCGTGGAGTGTGACTCACCCTGTCCACAGAGACACGCTAATTGCGGATGCACCTTGGAGCTCACTTGCTAAGTGAAATAATCTGGTCACAAAAAGACAAATACTGTGTGATTCCCACTTGTGAGGTCCCCAGAGCAGTTAAATTCACAGAGACAGAAAGTCAGAGATGGTTGCCGGGCTGAGGAGGGGGGAGTGGGGAGGTGGTGGTGATGGTGTGGTCTCGGTTCTCCAGATGTGCAACGGTGTGAATGTGCTTCACGCTGCTGACCTGTGTGCTTGAAAATGGTTAAGACGGTCAATTCTGTGTTACATGTATTTTACCATAATTTAAAAATGTTGTAGTTGCCACTGAGTATGTTTTGGATTGTTGAAGTCTTATTTGTTAATTGAATTAATGTCACTTAGTTGGAACTCCTTGGAAGCCTTGTTTATATTGCATGTGGTGTAAACCCCAACACCTGTCTCACTGGTGTAAGATATACTTTTTTGCCTGACCTCTCTTTACAAGTTCGGTCCCTCGGGCCTTCGGGTAACAGTGTGATAACGGGAAGAGGGAGTTTATTACACACAGATCGTGAGCTGGTTACTCTCTCCAGGGACGGGACTCTAAGTACTCCCACTGAGTACTTGAGTACTCTCTAACATTCTCATCTACTTCCTGTTTGTCAGTGACTGCAAAGAACTTCATTTTCATATCTGGAAAGAAACATAAAGAATCTGTATCTGACTGAGAAATGGGTCACTGTGATGGTTAATAAAACAGCTGGTACTTTTGTGCTTGATTTCTTAGTGATATAGCTATTGTATTTGGAAATAATAGTCGTTGTATTTAGAAGTATTATTAGATACAGATAAAGCCTCTCATCTATAAATAATTTTGTGCATTTTAACATGATTACCATTTTTGTTGTTGTTGTTAATAGGGTACAGAGAAAGCACTTTCAAAACTCCACGAGTATTTCCCTGACATGCAGATTCTGGCAGTTAGCGGTAACTATTGCACTGACAAGAAACCTGCTGCCATCAACTGGATAGAGGGACGAGGAAAGTCTGTTGTTTGTGAAGCTGTCATTCCAGCCCGGGTTGTCAGAGAAGTGAGTGATGGCATGAATATTTTATTTTGTTAATCAGTAATTGGATTAAAAAGTTGGGGAAAGGGTTGTTAACATTCAAAGTAAAGTTAAGGTATGGGTGTATGTTTTATGTTAAAGATGCCCGTTCTCTCATAGCCTGTGTGTGGCATTCCCAGGAACGAACTGCACTGGTCCTCTTTTTATTGAGGACAGGGCTGGAATGGGGCCGCCTCTAAATTCCCTTGTCTTCTGGAGGTGCAGAAAGATAGATCTGGGTAACATACCCCTGAACCTTCTTGGGGAAGATGTGAAATGTGCACACCTCTGTTTTCTAGGTATTGAAAACTACTACGGAAGCTATGGTTGAGGTCAACATTAATAAGAACCTGGTGGGCTCTGCCATGGCTGGGAGCATCGGGGGCTACAATGCCCACGCGGCCAACATCGTGACTGCCATCTACATCGCCTGTGGGCAGGTGAGGGCTCCTCCCACACTTCTCTTCTCTGTTGTTCTAAGTGAGAGATGTTTATTTAATACTTTCCTTTTCACGTTTTTCAGGATGCAGCACAGAATGTTGGTAGTTCAAACTGCATTACTTTAATGGAAGCAAGTGGCCCCACAAATGAAGATCTGTATATCAGTTGCACCATGCCGTCTATAGAAATAGGAACTGTGGGTGGTGGCACCAACCTGCTCCCTCAGCAAGCCTGTTTGCAGGTATGACACATCAGGCACCTCCTCAGGCCTCGTTCTGACTCGCTGGGATTGTGTGTTTCTACCTGACACTGCCTGTCACTCACCTCCATCTTAGCTGGCCTTTTCCCTCTTCTGTTTCCACCAGCCTCCTCCAGTGTGTCCGAGTACGCATGTGCAGGCGTATGCTTAGTCAGTTGAGAAAGTAGGTTAAGAGAGAAAATGAGTGTTGTTCTCCTCTGAGTAGGTGTGCTGCCAGCCAGGTGGTGCCGGTACGTTCCCTCTGGGGTGGGCGTTGTTAGTACTGGCTCCTGTGGCACTTCCGCTGGAGTCCAGTTCTGTTCCGATGCCCCTGAAGTTGCCCTCATTTTAGTTGGTTGAGTTGGAGGCTGTTATCGTGACTTTAGGGCTGAGGGCCGCTGTGTCTCTCTGGCTGCAGATGCTGGGTGTGCAAGGAGCGTGCAAAGAGAATCCTGGGGAGAATGCGCGGCAGCTGGCCAGGATTGTGTGTGGGACAGTGATGGCTGGGGAATTGTCCCTGATGGCAGCCTTGGCAGCAGGACATCTTGTCAGAAGTCACATGATTCACAACAGGTAAGAGATACAGGTTCGTTTAACGTGTTTTCCCTGTACTTAAGGTATACAGTAGAAAAACCTACTTCTCAGATACAATAGTCCCAACTTAAAATCTGCACTCCTGACGTCATGTCTCTCTCCTTTGTCTTTTTCTGCCACAGGTCAAAGGTAAATCTACAAGGCCTCCAGGGCACTTGCACTGAGAAGGCTGCTTGAGTGGCTGCCAGCTGGGGACTGCAGCATGGGCGTGGGTTCTAAGGACTGATGTAAAATCTGATTAAAGGCTCGATGCACGGTCTGGTTGCGAATGCGTGGCCGCGGTGTGAGGCGATGCTTGGTGGGGGCTGCCACAGGGTCTGGGGCCGCCCTCAGATCCGAGCGCTCCAGGTCAGTGCCTCGCTGCAGTGCTCTCGGAGAGGTCTCGGCACGGATTTTATGCTCTCGGTCATCACAGGTCTTAATCTGTCGTCACTGTTGAGAAAATATGAGCCGGAACCCATGTTTTCCTTTGAAGAAATTCATGGGGCTTGTGGTGATCAGTGGGAGACCCCCGCCCCCCGCTGGGTTGAAAATCGATTTTTAAATTATACTGTAGCTGACAAAACTCCTGATTTCATAGTTAATTTATTACGTCTGGGTTGTAGAACTTTAAGAAATAAGAGCTAAGTTTATTTTTTGTAAATTAACCCTTCATTTGGTGCTGGTCTCTCTTGATTTCTTTTGGGGTAGCCAACGTGATTCTTCAGACGGGGACCTGCTCTCTTCGAGGGAGGAATTGCTCTTCTTCCCGAACTACAGAACAGTGTGCTTAGCAGGGCTAAGTCGTTCTCGGTCAGAAACAGGTCGCCGTGGTCCCCTGCAGGTGTCTGCTCAGAGGGGCCCACATGAGTCTGGAATGCACGTTTGTCCACAGTGGCCGTCGCGTGCCCTTCAGCCTGAGTCTTTAGGAACGAGAGTTTTGTGCTCTTTATTAAAGGTACAAGAGCCCTTCATAGTGCTTAGACAGAGGTGATTGTTTATCAGAACCATACGACTCAGTGGCCTCTCTCAGAGCCCAGAGGGTGGAAAACACAGGTTTGAAAGAAAAATACCATTTCTCTAAGCCAATTTTAATTTCTTGAAAGACACAAATTTATTTAGCTGAAAAATCTAGATAACTTTTTGTCAAGAACTGTATCAAATCTGTATATGTTGTAATAAAGCTGCTTGTGCTAGGAATTTACTGACAGTGTTCAAGGAGTCAATGAAAGTCCGCTGTGTGCTGATCAAACCCTGTAAGCGTGGGCCAGAGAAGACAGCGTTCTGGAATGCTGTCCAGGACGCCCTGGCTGGCTCGTCGAACCTGATGAGAGGGGCCGTCAGCTTTCAGAGCCATGGAGACGCCGCGTGAATGACCCAGGAGGAGTGTACCTTGTTCCTGCGGCCAGGAGGTTGGTGACTGAAACTTCACATGGGCTCTTCGATGGGCCCGGACGAGCTCTTCGCTTCTTCAGGGGGTCAGCAGCGTTGTGGAATCTTAATTTTTTTGGATGTACCAGTTTTGTATAAATAATAAAGAACTCCTTATTTTGTATTACATCTAACGCTTCAAGTGTTGGTCTTGGAGAGCTGGGGGCGCCTCCAGAAGGTGCACCCTGGAGGACGTGCAGCAGCGCCGTGGCTGCAGGGACGGCCCCCGAGCAGCTGGTCCGCAGGACTCTTGTGAAGAGGGACCTTTCTGTTGTGGTAAAGTTTCACCTGCTTCCGTCGTGACTTTTCAGCCAGTGATGACTATTTATGTGACCTTTCCATGGAGGGGGCGGTGAAAAGTGTGTTGAGTCCTCCTCTCGGCGACCGTAACCAGTATCGTCTTGCTACATTAATGTTTTGTACATTTACTAAATTGTATACATTTTGTTATACATTTTTTCCATTTCCAGTAAATTATGAAAAGGAAGTTAATACTGAGAAGTGTAAGCAGTTTGGATTAACCCTGGGCCTGAGGCCTGGAAGCTTGAAAAGTCCGGCCAGAGTGGTGGCTAATTCACGCTAGGTGTCCCATGGTCATTTTGTCATTCTCCAACTGTACAGCGTTCACGGAAGGCTGGTATTGGATGTGCGTTAAGGTCATCATCCATATTCTTAGTGGGATTAGACTGGACTCCTTTTGGCTGTTGGGGGGTCTGAGGATTAGTTGAGAGGAGGAGAGCATAAAAGATGGGACAGCCAAAACCGCGTGGCATCGCAGGTGCGCAGTGAAGTTGTGTCGGCTGAATTAGCACAGCTTAGCATCGCCGAGGTCGGCCTCTTTACGAGCTGATTCCCATTTACTTGCAACTATTGACTATACTTCTCCTGTAGTTAGAGGTGAAAAGGTGTGTGTGAGCCACTAAGAACCAGGGCCCAGATGCAGAAAATCAGTTTGAATTTTCCCCTGAAACGATATGTGATCACCTGTGTGGTTGGCCCCCTGCAGAGTGGAGCAGGCTGGACAGGACAGTGAAGATTTTCCTCCCTTTTTCTGCTGGGGTGATGTGACGAGCAGTGAGATGCGTGTGTGGCAGGACAGGATTCTTCCTCATCTTAGGAGAGGGTAGAGGATTAAGTCCAGAGGGCACATCTCACCTTGAAGGGTCTGAGCACAGAACAGCACAACACATCAGTACAAATCCACTGTGGACAGAAGGTTGAAAGAAGAGCAGTAAATTCATTGTGGAAATTTCTTTCAAGACCAGTGTTTCTCAAGCTATCCTCCTCCTGTTCTGGACAAGAGTTGAATTTATTAATATTAAACTTTGCCGATTAGCAAATGGTTAGCAAAGATAATGGACAACCTCTACACTGGAAGCCAAGAGAAGATGGCAAATGATTAAATTTACAACGACATTTTAACAGACTCCTTTTCATCGTAACGTCCTTGGAACAAGCCCCTGACTCCTGCTTGCTTTCTTTGCCTCCTGAGCAAGTCTGAGAGCTGCTGAGGGAGGTCCGGGCACTCGCGGCTCGGGATGTGAGAAATGGCACACAGTTGCTCCCTCAGGCCAACAGGAGAGAGCCTGGTGCTAACAGCTGGAAACCGGAGGTGGAATGGAAAGGGTGCTCCGGTTCAGTGGTTCTCCCACCTGAGGTGGCAACACACTCGCCTGGGGACTTGTCAAAGTACAGGTGGCCAGGCTGCAGCCCCAGGGGTTGACTCCCTTGTTCTGTTATTTGGACTTGGTGTCTCCCCCATTGCGACCCCCTAAACACCGCTCGTCTTCAACAAATGGGACGACGGCCCCAGAGAGACTAGTTCCTTACTCCCCTCACTCTCCCAGCCCGTGGTCCCTATTCTCCCTCCCAAAGGGCCAACTAAGAGAGTGGAGGACAAGCAAAAAGCAAGGTCAGCTGACCCTTAAAGAGATTGGCCACCTTGCCCCCAACCGGAGCCCTAAAGTGGCTCCTTGTTCTTGACTTCCCTGCACTGACTGCAGCTCTGGAGCGGGACTCGAGCAGGAAGCTTATTCACCAGACCATTCCAGCCTGCGAATTCGGAAGCCAGCTGGCAGTGAGCCTGACGGCAGGGCCTCGTGCCAGCTGTTAAGGCACACAGGCACCTCCTGTGGGTTTTGTCGAGGAAACAGGAAGCAAGCAGCAGGAAGTAATCCAAAATAGAAGGGCTGCAGCCATCCGCTGCACAGGTTATGGAACTCCTTCACTTGAAATTTGAGACGACAAACAGGGCTTAGCTGATGGGGCAGGGGCAGGGGCAGGGGCAGGGGAGGGTTGAGGGAGCAGTTCCGTCCCCACTCTAAGTCAGCTGGGATTGTGAGAGTGCTGGACACACTAAAGCAGGTCCAGAGTATTAGCCCCAAATGATGTGGACGGGAGGACCTCCCAGCTCGCCTAGCCCTGCAGCTCACAGAGGAGGAGGTAGCCCAGGACCCCGCCCTCCCTGCCCATTTCAGTCTGGCCGGAGGCTATAGCTCCAAAGCTCTTACAGTGAAACCCAGTCTTGGTGCCTCAGTCTCTCCCAATCTAGCATGTAACCTGCAGGAGTCCTTTGTTCTTACACCTCTACTGCTCCTAAGAGCAAAGTACGGTCACGTCTGGACGGAGCAGCCCACGCACCCCATGGCTACAGCTCCTGCAGCAGATCTGATGCCCTCACCACAGCGCACAACCCTTGGGAGGTCGCCCAAGCTCAAAGCTGGCTGGCAGGTGCAGCCTGGGTAAATGGGATCTTGAATGGAAGGCTCTTGGGGAAAGGCCCGTCTTCCGCTTGCTCAGACAGTGCCGACCCAGGCCAGTCGAGTCCAAACCTTGAACACTCCAGCAGAAAAAGTGTTCCACACACACCTCCAATAAAAGTGTACTTTTTGATAATTATATTGAATTATGTACATTATCAAGTAACTGAAATGATAAAAATATACAAAAATTGATTTTTCTGTACTCCAGTGGTAAATCTTGCCCACATTTTTCCAAAGAGAAAATAATAGTCATTTACAAAGGAGGAGGACAGCAGTGTGGAGGGAGCTGGGAATCCAGAGCCCTCCATTCTCATCGTGGCTTTGCCGCTAACCAGTGGTGAGAGCTTAGGTTATTCGCTTCATGTCTCATCTCCTTAGTTTCCTTTTTCGTAAAGCGAGGCAGTCGCATTAGCTGGCTTCCAAGGCCTCATCTAGCTCTATACATTTCTCTGAAATGCTGTATTTGTTCTCTCCTATGTATACATACAAGATCATTCTATTATCCAAAGATGGAAACATGAAGCATTTTCTAGTGTTGCGATATGGATCTCAGGTGCATCTAGTTTGGGCAACAGCCTAGCACCTTCCACAGAGCACCAGAGGGGTTCTCAGCACAAGTGGCTTAGCCAGTCGCCTCCCTTTCCATCTTGTCTCCTCAGCAGCTGCCCAGCCAATTCTGCTGAACTCTTTGCAGCCCAGACCCCTGTGGGCTGCCCCGGCACTTGCTTGACGATTCCTTGCACGTCTGCCACTATCCCTGGCTGGGAGATTTGAATCTCCCTATAAAGCTGCTGTTTTAGGGGAAAAGGGGATAATGGTGTCCCTCTTACTTTCGTGCTTAACGTGCTTCCTGGACAGCTTCTCCCTCTCCTCCTTTTATCCCTTCTGTTTTCAGTACCCTCTCACGGAAGTTAAAGCCCTCTTCCCCTTTCAGCTCCATTTGCTCCTTCTTTTCACAACTTATCCATTTTTTTCACGACTTAATTTGCTGACTCAAACATATGTTGTATTGAAACTGCTGGTTTTCATGAGGCCTTGTGTTCCAAGGCTTGCAAGCCAGTGGGGCTGATGGGCTAGCATCTAGCTTATCAGCAGAACCGCTAGACTGAAAGAACAAGCAACGGCATAGTAGTGAGGTCGTCCGAGTACGAAGGGAAAAGCACATTCGGGAGAACTAAAGAGGAAGAGCTGACAGGCTGGTACACTTAAGGTCAGAAATGGGAGCCCTGAAGTAGGTTTTGGAGGTTGACTAAAGGGAGGAGAGAGAGAAGTTCCTTAGAAGGTAAGCATGGAGTACTGAGTGACGGGGAGTAAGTCCCCCTGGTTGGGATGACTTATTTGTAGAGAGGACCATGGTGGGTCAGGCGGGCGACGGGGTAAGGCCAGACTCCTA